ATAGGGCTGGGGATGTGACTCAGTGGTCGAGTGCCCCTGAGTTCAATCCCCGGTACAAAAAAACCTTTCCCTATCCAGTGTTCTCTGGATAAAAGCTGAAATATATAGCATGGCCAACAAGGCCAGGTCTGGATGTGTGAGCTTTGGAGAGCTTAGTGAAAGCCCTGGGCTCTGGGAAAAGCTTCTTGGAAAACTCAATTACAGTACAGTGCAGAGAAACTATTCAAAGTGTGAGATGCAAGGTAGGTGACAAGAGATCATGACAGGTTTCTTGGGGTTCCTTCTAGAGGGAACCCAGGAGAAGGATGGACTTCCTATTCCTATTGGTGGGAGATGATAAAAGGATAGTAAAGACAAAGTGACTAATGGTCTCAGCACAGGATGATAAGGTATACCCAGGGTGCCCATTGACACACCCAACCTGGGAAAGAAAACAACTTCACTAGAAATCAAAGCAACCCTTTGTACATAGTCTCAAAAACAAGAACCCAAAGCTGTACAATTTACATATAATAGTGGCTTCTGTTTAGCAAGTACACCTGCTAAGGGGTTGGCTTTATGCCAGTCATTTTACATATTTGATTACAACATCCTCATAAGATATTTATTATGATCTCTATTTTCGATGTATGGAAACCAAGACTCAAAAGGTTACTAAAAGTCAAATGACTAATAAGGCACCAACCAAACAATTATCACATTACGCTTCTCCATGATGAAAAGGAATAGCTGTGATGTTTATTTCCTGTGCCCCCACCGCTAGGATTAGGGAGCTCCAGGAGGGCAGGGCTGTTTTGCTCATGACTGCCTCCCTACCCCAGTGAGTAGAGTCTGGTCACAGCAGACCTTAAATAGGGATTTTTGTTAGAAGGAAGAAATGAAGTTTAACAGCTGCTTCCCTTAGTTAGTATTTTAATACAGAGCTTTATAAAAGTAGGAAAAATTAGTGTGAATATCCCTAGGTCCATAGATTTGGTGTTGGTTATAGTTTCTTATTCTCTCCACCAAAGTGCTGCTATTAAAATACAACCATGCCTTATTCAACCAGAGGTTTCCATTAGCAACAAGAATTAATTAAATTATGAGTCATCGGCAGATGACATACTAACGCAGATTATCTCCCTACAATTATTGGGGTTCTTTTCTTTTTCTAATTATAAAAGTAATATAGTAAAGAACACAGTTAGATTTATTAATTTTAAAAAGCGAAGTATGCACCATTATGAGAAGATCTCCAAAATATATTTTTAGTGAAAACAATAACAACAAGATGCAGTATGGTGTTCGTGTTAGGCTCTTCTTCCAAAGGGTAATAATAATCATTATTGAGAGCTTACTGTGCCAGGCACTATATTATACCTGCTGCATGAATGACCTCATCTAATTTTTTTAACACTATGTTGTCAGTGCTATGTCCTCATTTCAATAATAGCATTACCATCATATTAAATTTTTTAAAATTTTGCATCAATCTGGAACTTAGATCACAAAGCATATACACACACTGGGTATAGTGACACACACTTTTAATCACAGAGACTTTGGATGCTGAAGTAGGATGATCTCAAGTTCAAGAGCAGTCCTGGACACTTAGGTTTGACTCAGTGGTAGAGACCCTCTGGGTTCAAATCCCAATACCACATACACACACACACACACACACACACACACACACAGATACATACACATGCACATAAGTGTGTATATTTTTAAAATATTTTTTTAGTTGGTGATAGGCCTTTATTTTATTTATTTATATGCAGTGCTGAGAATCAAACCCAGTGCCTCACACATCCTAGGCAACTGTGCTACCACTGAGCCCCAGCCCTAGCCCCAAGTGTGTTATTTCACATCTATATTTTACTCCAACTCCACATATTGAAAAATATAAGACTTCATCAATATCTGCAGTAATCCTATGCCATTAAGTTTGCATTTTTTCTCTTTTTACCTATATTTTTTCATCACCAATAATAATGAGAAGCCTGGCTCTGATTATCCTAGATATTTTTACTTATTGTATATAATGCATTTCCTGTTGCCTCTACTGTCCTCATCTTGGCAGACTGTCCTTCCCCACCTTCTAGTCTGCAACTCTGCATATCAGACCTGTTGGTCTCCCTGTTCAGACTCTGGTGCCCCAGACCAGCTCAGAGGCTCTCCTTCCCCCATGCCAGGACCTCCTGACAACCGTGGGAAATAAATCCCTACCACTCCCTGCCCATCTCCAGCAAAGACAGCTCACTTGTCATTCAGGGACTACCATAAGAAAGTGTCTCCTAGGACTCCAGAAGCTTGAACTGCATCAAACTTAACGTAGCTCTAGTAGTTATGTTAGTAGCTCTATCAGCCCATTCTTAAAAGGACCAACAGTTAGACCAAAAGCATAGATAGCCCTTTAGCCAATTATATGTCTCAGAATGAAACATGAGAGATGGAAAGAAAAAAAAAAGGAAAAAGAAATTAAAAAATTATACCAGGGAGGCAGCTATTTCATGAGCTGAATCCCAAGCAGCAAAGTCACCACTGATGTCACAACAGTGTTGCCAGCTAATAATGGGCTGCTCCTTAACTGTCGGGAAAGGCAAACAGCACAACATTAAAATGGTTCTATTTTTTCCATCCTTACAATAGCAACACAGCGGCAGAGCGTTGATCTCTAAAAGACAAAGGCGGTGAAGATAAGCATGCGCTAAAGCCAGGGCCACTTGGGTTGTGATTTTCCTTTGAAATATTAAGTAATATATCCCAAATACGCAGGCCTCCACTGGGATCACCGCCTGAAGTGCTGGTCTGAAATCACCCATCGAGTAGCTCAGCAAGTCCCCTGCTCTGCAGGCCTGCCAGACAGCCTGGCTTTCTCTTTTCCTCACTTGCTTTGGCTAAGTGGCTTCCAAGGTGTTTCAGGGAAAAAAAAAAAAAATCAGGATTCAAAACAAAGAGCCGATATCCCAGCCAGGCCTGCATTCTCCTACAACTGTATTAATCAGCAGCTGCTTGGACCCTGTTCATCTGCCACTGCCAAAGCTGAACTAAAGTCTGCTCTTTCTCTCTACCACAGGATTGCCTGTGGCTCCCAGGTTGAAAGTTTTTCTCTAGCACTTCTCACTTTCCACTTTGCCATCGGGCACCTCAACCCTTGTCTCCTCTCTTATCTGTCTATATTTTGCACCAATCTGTGTTCACCTCACCGAGTCCCCCTTTCATTGCTATGCATTTTTCACTCCCCCTGCTCTCCATCCTTGGCTTCCATCCTAAACATTTTAAACATGAGGTGAACTCGGTATCTGTGGAACATGTCGACAGACCAGTCTTCCAAGTCAGCCAAGTTGCCTCCTCCCCTGACCACATAAGGTAATAAGCTCTCCTTTCTCGGTGCTAATTCTTTCCAGTTGCCCAGTAGTAAAGCTGTCTCCTTCAAGAAATGGTTTGATTTAGGATCCACTCAAGAGACACAACTAAAGAACAAGACCTCCTGTTATGAGGTTGCAAATTCCCAGGCACTTGCAACCAGCATTTTGCTTCATTAAATAATAGACACTGGCAGCGACCTTTCCCCTTCCAGGCTGTAGAAATTCAGAGTTCCCCACATCAAGAGCAGGGAAATTCTGAACAGACAAGAATAAGTTGTTTTACCCTGGGAAAAAGCATCTAAACTCAGTTCAGGATGCTGAATGCTTCCCATTTGTTCTAGACTTTTCTCTTTCTCAACTTTCTCTGTGCCCCAGGAAAGGGGCAGACTTTTGGGTTGTTCAACAGGCTCCTTCAGCCTATGGCTTCCCACTGAATTCAACCAATGGGGGAGCAATGGAAATCAGGAAGAAGGTAGGTGGTGAGGTTAGGAGGCCAGGGTATTTACCCACGATAGCCTTCTTTGTGAGGTAATACAGGTGAACAGGATTTCTCAGTTTCTTCCAGGTATCCCTCTCTTTCCAACTCCAGTCACCATTCTGTCCTTTGTCCCATCAAACCTTGTGCAACAACAGTACTCTTTCAACAGCTCGGGGTATTGCACTATCCCTTGTGATTTCCCTCTAACCTGACAACACCTTTATAAATAATCCCTTTATTAAACTCTCTTCAAATTACCCAATTCAAGTGGACCATCTGTTTCCTGTGGCTAATTTGATGCTTACATAAGATCTCTGCTTAGGCAAAGCAGAAGCAGGTATATTTGAGAAATTGCAATGGTGAACGATCAGGAACCCAGTTACCTAGAAACTGAGGCCCACAGGTAGGAATTCAAGCAATTCTTGGCACAGACACAGGAGAAAGTTCTTTACTGAGTGTAAGTGATACAGAGAAGTGGAAGAATTTACTGACAACTGGAAGTACTAAGGTTGGATGATTGCTAATACCATAACACTTGCTATGCTTATTATATTCCAGACACCTACAATGTTATCACATTTTAGATTATTTAACCAACATACAGATAAAGAAGCTGGATGTGTTGATTATTGCTGTTTTTCCTCCCCAACATTCCTCCCTTAACATCTTTCAGTGATAAGACTGTTCTCTCCTGCAAGGAATTCATTTGAATATTTTAAGTAGGGGTAGTCCTGGCCTTGCACATCAGCACTCCCCCTATCCCACACACAATGTTTACTTCAGAGAGGGACATGTCACCCAAAGAGGCCAATGAGTCCCTCTTGAGATTCAAAATGGACATAAGGAAAAGACATAAGGAAAGACCTGTAAGGATGGTGATGTGAGCCACCACTAGCTGGGGCCACCTCACCCTCTGCTTGGAAGAAGCCATCTCCTGTAACAACTCACACAATATCAACCAGAGAAAGACAGAGACAAGAGATAGATGGAAAAGGAACAAGAGAGATGACCTCATTTGCTCTTGCTTCCACTACCTCTCAAGTCAGTTCTGTTCTAGGATTTTAATCTTGTGAATCAACAAATGCCTTTTTAAAAAAAAATCTAATTTAAGTTGGGTTTCTGTCACTTTTAATTTTTAAAATCCTGTAAATATATTGAGGCTTACTTACAGAGATTCTTCAGCTGAGCAGTGATCAGCACATGCATCCGGGGGGAGGGGGGGGAACTACCCAAGACTGGGAAAAGAACCACTGTGGAGGAAAAAAAAAAGAACTACTGTGATATTGTGAAATATAAATTTATTTGGTTTTCATTCTTGTGTTTTGGAATCTTTAAAGTGATGAGTGGTAATTGACTAATGACTGGCATCTCCCAGGTAACTCCAGGATAGGGACTGGTCAAGACCAAGGCTGAATTAGTGAATTGGGGCTTTTGGCTCTAACCCACCCCCCAACCTCTGGGAAGATGAGAGTGGCTGAAGGTTGAATGGATCACCAATGATCAGTGGTTAAAACAGGGATTGAAACAATCAAATGTTTCCAAGGAAATTAACTATATTCTAGAACAAATATTAAGTACATGCAAAGAAATTAAAGCATATGCAGCACCTAAAAATGTAAACTCATACCTGTGTGATGAAGCTTCCATAAAAGTCCAAAAGAACAGCGTTCAGAGATCTTCTGGATTGCTGGACACATGGAGGTTCCTAGAGGGTGAGGGCACCCAGAGAGGGCATGGGAACCCCTTGCCTCTCTCTATATCGCTTGGCCTAGCATTTCTTTACTTGTATGCTTTGCAGTATCTTTTACAATAAACTGGTAAGGGTATTTCCCTGAGTTTTATGAGCTTATTTAGCAAATTAATTGAACCCAAGGTGGGGGTTATGGGAACCCTGAATTATAGCCAGTCCTTCAGAAGCACAGGTGAAGCAATCTGGAGCTTGTGGTTGATGCTGAAAGTGGGGAGAAGTCCTATGAGAATGAACCCTCAACCTGTGGGATCTGACACTATCTCATGTAGATATTCTCAAGATTGAATTGGAAGGCATCCAGCAAGTGTCCACTACAGAACTAACTGCTTGCCTTGGTATCAGATACCATAAGTGATGTGAGAATATAGGAGAAAATGAGTTTGTTATTTTTCTATTCAACCACTCAAAAGGAGTGGGTGGGACAATCTTCAGAGCTCACAGAGATTCAGAAATATTTGGTGAACCCACCAACTGGTATGAAAAAACCTTGTAATAATACAGGGGAACCAGGAGAGTACTCAGAAATATAGTATATTAGTAATAGGGGAAAAAAATCAGACCTAGACTTTGTTAACCTGCATAACAAAACTTAAAACAGGGCTTGAAACAATCAAATGTATCCAAGGAAATTAACTATATTCTAGAACAAATATTAAGTACATGCAAAGAAATTAAAGCATATGCAGCACCTAAAAATGTAGAGTTCACAACTATTGGCATTCAAAAAAAATTACCAGACATACAAAAATATAACCTAAAAAGATGAAGAAAATCAACTAAAATTGACTCATAATGATACAGATAATAGAATCATGATCATTAAAACAGGTATTATAATTATAATCCATGTGTTGAAAGTAGAAGAAATCATTAGTATGGTAGGGAAAGACATAGATGGTGATATAAAAAAGATTCGAATCAAACTTCTAAGGTTGAAAAGTGCAACATGGTACATGAGATGAAAAATACACTAAATGGTATTAACATTAGATTAGACATTGTGGAAGAAAGCATTAGTGAATTTGAAGACACATCAATAGAAACTTTTCAAAATGAAACAGAGAAAAAGAAAAAAACAAACAGTGAGCTTCAGAACAACCTCAAACAGCCTACTATTCATGTAGATGTAGGGCCCAAGAAGAAGGAGAAGAGAGGAGAGAAAAAATCTTTTTTAAAAAATAGTTGAGCATAATACCCAGAGAGCCCACCCCCAACTGACCTCTCCAGAAAGAAGGTCTAGCCATGTCTTACCTGATCAAAAAGGTTTTCAGCATCACAAAAGCCCCAGGGTCCACTGGTCCCTATAGTCAAACAGTGTTAGTCAACAGGATCATTTACATCTCTGAACAGACAGGCATCGACTCTTCAAGCAGAACACCTTGTGCCAGGAGAGGTAGCAGCAAAAGCTAAACAAGTTCTTACAAAGATAGGTAAAATTCTGAAAGCTGCAGTCTGTGAGTTCACTAATGTGGTCAAAGCCACTATTTTGCTGGCTAACATAAATGATTTCAATACTGTCAATGGGATTTACAAACAGTATTTTGAGAGTAATTTTCCTGCTAAGGCTGCTTACCATGCTGCTGCTTTACCCAAAGGAGGGTGCTGAGATTGAAGCAGTAACTGTCCGAGGTCCTCTCACAACAGCATGACTACAAGTGGGCACAGTGCTGTTATCATCGTTTCTTTAAATTAACATCTTGATTTTTACAATTGACATTGGAAAGTGTACATGTGACTAAAATATCTGAGGTTACTGTGGGAACACCATAGCAGAAAGGGATCTGACATAAATATTAGATAATGAATCTAGTTACTGATGCTGCAAATTACACTTATGTACACTCATTGCTGAATGTGAGATAAGAGACATTCATTAGATCATCACTCAAAATAACATGTAAGAAAAAGGAGTTATTGTTCCTGAAAAATACTAAAAAGCAAACCTGATTCAATTAAATCCTATTAATTTCATGATGTGAATATTTAATTCGATGTGTGATTCTGCTTTTACTTGAGTAAATGTTCAATCTTGAATTGTAGAAGTAAAGGAGAAAAACAGTGGACCAAAATTTTACATAGATTATAATATTTTTCTAGTGGAAATAAAATAGACCTGCAGATTTCCCTACCAAAAAAAAAAAAAAATTGGGAAGTGTAACACACACCTGTAATCCCAACTACTCAGGAGGCTGAGGCAGGAGGATCACAAGTTCAAGGCCAGTCTAGCCAACTTGGGAAGATCTTGTATCAAAATAATAAATTGCTGCAAACTAATAATTGCTGCAAAAAGAAAAAGTCTATGGAAATAATGGCTAAAAGTTGTTCAAATTTGTTGAAAAAATCAATATGCAGTTGCAAGAAACTCAATACTCTAATAAGACACAATAACTACACCAAGATACTTCATAATCCAACCGGGGAGCCCATCTGCATGGGCAGCACCCTGACAATCACATGTGGACTTCAAAGAGCAAAAATCATGAAGCATTTCAAGGATGCAGGTGTGCCCTTCACTAGTGGACTTGTCAATATCTCAGCTAAGAGAATGTCTTCTGGGCCTTCTAGGGGAGTGGTAGGTAGCAAGATGGTCATTAGGTTACACTTGATAAACTCAGTCCAACATTGTTATGCCTGTGGACTTCTTGTGGATTTTCTGTGGATTTCTTTCTCCACATCATATCAGAAAAGTTCTGGCATACCATCCTCATGGATTATAAGCCACCCTTGAATCCAGGTTTTAGTAAAGGGTTAATTAATATGGAACTTACACATTAAATCCAGATTCCCCAGGAAGCCTACCCAAATCAATGAATTAAGCCAAAACTAATGTTATATCCTTTTTGGACAAATATCCTTGAAAAGCTCCCCAGGTTTCTATTGCTGAATATTATTATCAAGGCTTTGAAATTAGGCAAGTTATTTCTTCCTAGAGCATAGTGTATATTATGCACCTGGAACTTGCTGAGAGTTGACCCTATTCAAGGGTCCACTTGTAAAAGGGGTGATGATGGTGAGCCTTAAGGGCAATGGGCACTCCTTTATAAAAGGAATCTTCCCTAGGTGAGGGTTTCTTCAGCAATGGGTGAAATGCCCATAACTTATGTTGTGCACATAACCCATCTCTCTGAAATGGCTGGGTTATTTCAAAGCTAGAATGGCTTACTAAAAACTCAGTTACTGTGTCAACTGGGAAACAACCATGTGAAAGTTGGAATTGTCTCTTACAGGGTGCAGTGTATACTTTGAATTAGAGACCATTATATGTGGTATCTTCCCTATAATCAAATACATAGGTCTGTGAATCAAGGAGAGGAAGTAAAGGAGCAAGCTATTCTTAAAAGAAAAGCCAGTAGAGCCGGGAACAGTGGTACACCTGTAATCCCAGAGGCTCTGGAGGCTGAGACTGGAGGATGGAAAGTTCAAGACCTGCCTCTACAACTTAGTGAGGCCCTAAGCAACTTAATGAGACCCTGTCTCAAAGTAAAAAATAAAAAACAAAAAGGGCTGGGGATGTGGCTCAGTAAAGCGTGTCTGGGTTAAATCCACAATACCAATTAAAAAGTAAATTCAGTCGAGGAAGAAGATCAGGAGGAGAGAGGAGGGAGGGGAGAACTGGGGGGAAATGTTGACCAAATTATATTGTTCTACTGTGTGCATGTAGGAATATACAACAACAAACCCCACTGTTTTGTGTAATTATAATACACCAATTTAAAAGGCATCAAAGAGCTAATGATGCAATAAAACAAGTGAATTCAAAATTTCACCCCTAGAAAAATGAGAATTTGCTAATAACTTAAAAATAACTATTTCTCGTCCCTAGTCCCACTTTTTCCCATTTTTTACTAGGCAACAGGGTTCTCAAAACTATTGAAATCCAATTTTAGCTACCTAAAAGTGTGTTCAAAGTATATTATAAAATGATAACCTTCTAATAAAAGAAATGAGCAAAGATTCCCAAAATGAGCAGTAGAGTACCTGAAAGCAAAATAAAAAGTAGGAGAGCCCAACATAAACCATTATGTAGTGTCCCCAATATGTTTCCTGAGTCCTTCTTAGACTGTTTAGTTCGTCTTCTTATTTGAGCTAATAATTAGACAAGCAGTTCCCTGATGTTACAGGCAGAAAAATTATCCTTCAAGTTTAGGGCACTATTCCAGAGAAACCTGATGAGAACAACTGTCCCACCCACAGTCCTTCCTTCAATTGGCAACACTCTGCTACTGCAGTGGTGTGAGCACACAGTTGAGGTTAGTAGTTAAAGTGGCACACCTGTAATCCCAGAGGCTCTGGAGGGTTTCAAATTGATGTTATTCTATTGGTGCTCCTACAGTTCAAAGAGCAATGTTAATTGAGATAAAAGCAATTAATGAAAAGAATTATGGTTACTTTATTAGTATGACTGAATAAATGTCATTTCAGGATCCCAAACCATATCATATTCCCCTAAAATTACTTATTCAATTTCAGGTCAAAGAAAATTTCTTTATAACAACTCCCTGTGAAAGTTCTCGTTAATATGGACCCTGATCAATACACCCCCAGTAGAGCAAATCTAGGAGCTAGAAAAGTATCTTGAGTTCCTGTGAATAATATCTGGATTCTGGAAGCCTGGTTTTCAGACTATTTCTTCTTTGATGAATTCTAGAAAGCTCTGGAAGAATTGATATCCAAAAAAATACAGAAGACAACTCTAGCATAAAAATGGATGCCAAAGCTTTAGAGTTAGTTGGAACAACTTTCCTTGAGATAGAGCTCTTATTTAAAAGTCATTTTTAGGCACTTAAATTAGGCAATAACATGGAACAATATGACTAACACTGACCAGATTGGAAACCATTAATTTGTTTGATAAAGGGAAGCAAGTTCTAGAGCAATATGTTAGAGAATAAATTAAGAATATTATTTAGCAAGAAAAGAAAAGCTCAGGAAAAATTAAAATCTAACTTAAAAAACAAAAAAAGAATGTTCAGTCAATAGTCATTTCTCTTAAGCGAAGATATGGTATCTAACATAAAGTCAAAGCTATGGAAAACCCAGAAAATCTCTTCTCTCCAACAGAGAGAAACTATTATCCATATCCAAACATGGAGGCTCAGAGTGTGGAGTAGTGGCAGGGCATCTTCTGCCCTTCCAAGGTCATGGTATGCACCATAGCTTGCTGAATGGCTAAAAAGAGAACAAGCCAGTGAGTTGGTGCATGCCATAATCCCAGGGATTCAGGAGTCTGAGGCAGGAGGATCTTGAGTTCAAAGCTAGCCTCAGCAAGGCCAAGGTGAGGCCCTGAGAAACTCAGCAAGACCCTGTCTCTAAATAAAATATAAAAAAGGAATGGGGATGTGTCTCAGTGGTTAAATCCCCCTGGGTTCAATCCCTAGTACCCAAAGTAGAACAAAACAAAAATAGATTCCTATTCGAAAAACTTTTTAAAACTATTTGCACTGCTCCAAAGTTTCTTTTTAAATTTTTTTTTAGTTGTAGGTGGACACAAAGCCTTTATTTTTATTTATTTATTTTTATGTGGTGCTGAGGATCTAACCCAGTGCCTCACCTGTGCTAGGTGAGCACTCAACCACTGAGCCACAACTCCAGCCCCCAATCCAAATTTTTAAAATTTTTTATTCCAAATGTTTTAGAAAAGGGTTATGCAAACAGGAACCCCCACACTAAGCTGGAACTATATATGTAAACTATGTAAATCCAATCGAGAGAACAATTCCGCAATATATATCAAAGACCTTAAAAATATACATATATTTTGAAGAAGATATTTCAGGTTAGCTTTTAAAAAATCATGTTTTAAACAATAATGTTCTTCATAAAAAATGATTAAAATGCTCAAAGAAAACTATTAAAGTTTTTTTCAAACTATTAATGTTCAGATGTTAAGTAGAAAAAAATTTAGATTGCAAAACAGCATGTCCACTCTTTTCCATTTTGTAACTGTGCATGTGTGTATGAACATGAAAAAATATGGAAAGATTTAGAATTGTTTTTAGGATCTTTCTGTTTGTGTTTTCTTTTTCCCTCTAATTTTTAAAAGTTCTTTCTTAAGGACATATTGAGAGTATCCAACTACTTCAAAGAGTATTATGAATTTATGGCTAAGTAAGATGATTGAAAATTAAGCTCCAGTGCTGAGCTGTTCTCACAGCATGTTCTAAAACACCCTCTTTCATCTGTATTAGCTGCTTGCCTTTCCGTGGACC